ATTGAGAAATGACCTGAATTTTCACCAAGTGGGTTCGGAGTGTTAGAGCAAAGAAAATACATGCTAACTGTTGGAGAAGAAGCAGGAAAAACAGGGAAAAAACAGATACTCACAAGTAGGGGTGGGTGTGATTTTTTCCAATATTTTAATGAGATCTGCTATAGGGCCCGGCTCAATGACCGGGCCCAAATACAAGCGCCGAGGTGGCGCAATACAATTGGAGGGGGAGTTGACCAAAGCCAGCCCCCCTCCAATTACATGGCTCCACCTCGGAGCCCTATCATTTGTTCCGGTCATTGAGCCGGGACAAATGGCTTAACTCTATTTTAACTCACATGTGCCTCACCCCATGTGAGTTATCTGTGAAAAAAAAAAATAGAAGAAACAGTTCTGTACACTCAGATTAATTCAAGAAAATATGTGAGCATTCTTTTTATTATTATTATTATTTCAATAATTTTTTGCACCCATGTGATAGAGTTTATGAAAATATATTATACAGTCACCGTAGTTACTAAGGGTAACGTGGTTATGTCTTTGGCCAATTAACCTTTTACCATGGTTAAAGAGATAACCCAAATTCTCTGTTTAAATACTCACCCGACCTTCTACGCCACCATACAACCACTTTCCAATACCGATCAGAGATTAGGATTCTGAGCATAATTAAGGAGAAGCACAGGTATTAAAGAATTTTTAATGTTAACGGTCAAGACCATGATGCCATATGGTTACGACATGGTTGACCATATGACCACATGGTGCTGACAATAAAGCTTATTTTATATAAATTTTATTTCGTCTAATTCTTTTATTCTTGACATTTTTTAGATAATACGATTTAATATTAGGAAAGGAAAATCCAAGATTATAGTGAGTGGAGCTAGGAATTTGTCACAGATTAATACGATATCACAAATCAAAAATTTTATAAGTTACATTTTATTTTATTGGTCACAAATAAAAAAATTATAGGTCACAATTTATCAACCAGTCACATATTTTCAAATTTGTTGGTCACAAATTATCGAATTTTAAGGTCACGATTTATTTTATTAGTTACGGATAAAAAATTATAGGTCACAATTTATCAATCGTCACGTATTTTCAAATTTGTCGATCACAGATTATCGAATATTAAGGTCAAAGTTAAACAGTTGGTCACAGGTAAGGGTCACATACGAACACCACCTACACTGCCGTCACCGCCACTGTTGTCGCTACCACCACAACCACTACCACCAACACCACCATCAACACAATGCCATCGTTGTCAACCACCATCACATCACCGTCAACCACCAACACCGCCGTCACTGTCGTCGACCAGCATCGCTAACATCACCACCACCTCAACACTGCAACCAACATCACAATCACCACCACTTAACTACAAACACCACCACAACTTGCAAACTACTACCAATTACCCTAAAAAAACTCCAGATTTTCACCACCAGTCACCACCACCACCTTACCGCTAACACCCAAAACAACCTACAACAGATTGAAAGGAAGAAACACTGTGTCATTGTCGCTACTGCAACAACTATAGCTCTCAGAGTCATCCCGACATATCAAAGGGAAGAAATACTACATCCATGTTGTCGCCGTCCCCAAAACCACATATTTTCAACCTTAATGACGAATCTCGTTGAGGAGAGAGAAGAGATTCTGGCAAGGAGAGAGAGAGAGAGGGGGGATAATTGATTAAAATAATTTAGGGTTTGAAAGTAGGTGGGGTGATTGTTTTGGTGGGTGTTGAATTTGTAATATAATTATTAATATTAAATATTAAGTTGTCACCTGAATTTTGATTAAAAATAGTTCACGTCTGATTTTTGCACTTTGAAGTTTAAACACCCGATTTATGCAATTTTCCCATAAATAAATTTATGGAACAAGAAATTTTGCAACACAAATCTTTTCTTACTCAATTAAGTCTTGTTATTATTGTTATTTCAGATGAATTTAATAATGCCTTCATTTAAGTGAAATTTTTTACCTACGATGTGTTGATTCCTTATGTTTATTTGAGCACTAATATTTCGGATTTAAATACTTTATGCTTCAATGCATTTCATGATTTCATTTATTAGGAAGAATGAAATGAATGCATCCTAGTACGCCCAGGAGCGGGAAAATGAATATTGTGATACTACTCATGGTGTTTTTATGATCAAAATACATTTTTAGAGCCACAAGTGCTGGCCACGCGATGATGAAAATTGTTTAAAGTGAAAGGGGCTATGATGAATGGCCAAGATGAATACGACAAGCTTATGTAAGTGGCCAAATAAAAAGAAAGAACAAGTGCTTCGGGCGTACTGAGATAATAAAATGTGAATCATATGTATAATTACAGTAGACACACGAGCACATCTCCACTCAATGGATTATAAAAGTTCATTCGTTTCTTTTTAAATTTTTTTAGGTAACCATGGAATGAAATATTTCATAACTTTCCAAGGATAGGTCATTCTTTTGGACCAGCTTGAGGCACGTTAGACAGTGTTCTAAAAAGCTCGTTTAGGCCAAAGCTCAGGCAAAATGCCTCACTTTGCATCTCGATGCTTTTTTTCCGATTCCTAAACGGTTTTTTTTTTCTCTTCTTTCGTCTTCCCTATGCGCGCTTTATTAGTTTTTGTATTTTTTTAAAAATCTTTTATTTGACTTTAGCTTATTAATTTTTTATTTAAAAAATATTTTATTTGAATTTAATTTCAAGTTTTTAAAAGATTTTATCTATACAAAAGTTAAACATGGTTTTATCTAAATAGTTAAATAAGATTTAAGTCATGGTGCTATCTATATTTTGTAATTATGATTTTGAGATTCGTTATTTTGTTGTAAACTCCAAAAGCATGTATGAAATTCCTATAAATATATTAAATATGATTTGTTTAGTTGAAAATTGAAACTATCAAAAATATTCTAATTATTGAATTTCAAAAACTTGAAAATTGTATAATTTGCTAATGGTAGAAATTATTAAGTAAATATATTATTTTATAATTTTAGATCTTTGAT